GCCCAGTGAGAGGTGAGCAGGGATCTCTTGAGCACCCTCCAGCATTTCTTCTTGTCAATCTTCAGCCTAATGTGGCTAATGAAGAGTAGAGGGACAGAAGAGAAAAAGATGCCATAAAATATGTGGGCTCGCTATCTCTGCGGGTCCACCCGGAGTTCCTGCAGGCAAGATCCTTGACCCCCAAATCCGGGCCCCTGCCAAAGAACCAGGTCTCAGCAGGAGAGCGCCAGTTTCCAGTGAGATCCCACTACCCTGCAAAACCTTCTCAAGTTCCAGCCCAGCCCTCCTCCTCTTCCACCTGCTATTGGCCAGAGGTGAGTCTGGGCCCAATTGGGGCTGCCTGTCCTCAACAACCTCTTTTCCCCCCTCCCCCGCCTGAACTCCCTGGATTGGCCCCTGATCCTGCTGCTCCTGTCTCCAGGACCCATCAAGAGCATCCTTGGAGCTCTGATACACCCCCACCCATCCCAACCTCCAGCCTACCCCCTGCACCCTGTGCCCTACCCCACCTATGGTCCTGCCACTCTGGTTGAGCACTGGGACAGAGGGTGGAGCCAACAGTCCACCCTACTTCGGAGACTTCTCTGAGGAGCAACTCCGAACAAAGGAGACCTGACTATCCACATGGTACCACCTGTAATTTCCACTAGCTTGGTCTCTGACCCCGCCTCCAGTCCTCTGGAGTCCCGGGCCCCTCCCAGAGATCCCCCTATCTCTGTGGGTCTGCTCGGAGTTCCTGCGGGCAAGATCCTTGACCCCCAAATCCGGGCCCCTGCCGAAGAACGAGGTCTCAGCGGGAGAGCGCCAGTTTCCAGTGAGATCCCACTACCCTGCCAAACCTTCTCAAGTTCAAGCTCAGCCCTCTTCCTCTTCTGCCAGCTATTGGCCAGAGCTATTGGCCAGAGGACCACTGTGAGTACCTGCTGGCATCTTCTTCTTGATCCTCATCCTTGACCCCATCCCTGGATCCCTGTCTGCAGGGAAACCTCCTAGAGAGCTTGGACCACACAGAGCTACAGATATTGAATCTCAGATCCACATAAGCCTATTGGGGAAGTACCATAGAGAGAGGGAAGAGACACCACCAACACCTACTGGAAGAAACTATGGGAAGAAGGCAATACAAGAGAACACCTAACAACAGAAAGACAAACATGACACCACCAGAATCTAGGGAATCTACACCAACTAGAATGGAACACAACAACAAAGCAGAGGAAGCAGAAGGGTACAAATTAAAAATCACCATCATAAAAATGATAGAGGCCCTCAAAGAAGATGTGAGAAAATCCCTTAAAGAAATGGAGGAAAAAACAAACAAAAAAGTGGAAGAAATGAACAAATTCCTTAAGGAAAGTACAGAAAGCCAAGAAAAAACAATTAAGCAGGTGAAGGAAACGGTTCAAGACTTGAAAACTGAAATTGAGAAAATAAAGGCAACACAAACGGAAGGAAGGCTGGAAATTAAAAAGCTGGGCAAAAAATCGGAAACCACGGACACAACCATAACCAATAGAATTCAAGAGATGGAAGAGAGAATCTCAGGCGCAGAAGATAAACTAGAAGAAATAGATTCATCGACCAAAGAAAATCATAGATCCAACAAATCCTTAACACAAAACATCCAGGAAATGTGGGACACCATGAAAAGGCCAAACCTAAGAATAATAGGCATAGACAAAGGTGAGGAAGCCCAGCTCAAAGGTGCCAAAAACATATTCAACAAAATCATCCAGGAAAACTTTCCAAATCTGAAGAAGGACATGCCCATGAAAGTACAAGAAGCATACCGAACCCCAAATAGGCTGGACCAAAGAAAAAAGACCCCTCGACATATAATAATCAAAACACCTAGCATACAGAATAAAGAAAGAATATTAAGATCAGGGAAGGAAAAAGGACAGGTAACATATAAAGGCAGACCTATCAAAATTACACCTGACTTCTCCATGGAAACACTCAAGGCCAGAAGGTCCTGGATAGATGTTCTAAAAGTATTAAGAGAACACGGATGCCAGCCTAGGCTACTATATCCAGCAAAACTCTCAATCAATATAGATGGAGAGAACAAGATATTTAATGAAAAACCAGATTTTCCCAATATGTATCTACAAATCCAGCCCTACAGAAAGTATTGGAAGGAAAACTCCAACCCAAGGAAGGTAACTACGCCCACAAAAATGTAGGCAACAGATAATCCAACTACACCAGAAACCTAGGGTGAAGCAGAACAAATATATTCACAATACCACTGCCAACAACAAACCTAAATCAAATAAGCATCGACAATCAATGGACCTTACTCACCCTCAACATTAATGGTCTTAACTAGCCTGTAAAAAGACACAGGCTAACAGAATGGATATGAAGACAGAATCCATCCTTCTGCTGCATACAAGAAACACATCTTAGCTCCAAAGATAGACATTACTTCAGGGTAAAGGGTTGGGAAAAGATTTTCCAATCAAATGGAAATAAGAAGCAAGCAGGCGTAGCTATCCTAATATCTAACAAGTTAGACTTCAAACCAAAATTAGTCAAAAGAGATGAAGACGGTCATTTCTTATTCATCTCAGGAGAAATCCATCAACACAAAGTCTCAATTCTGAACATCTATGCCCCTAATACAAAGTCACCCACATTCGTAAAAGAAACACTACTAAAACTCAAAGCTCATATAAAACCTCACACACTTATAATGGGAGACTTCAATACACCACTCTCAACACTAGACAGGACCACAAATCAGAAACTCAACAAAGAAACAAAAGAATTAACAGAAGTTATGTCTCAACTGGGGTTAACAGACATCTATAGAACATTCCATCCAAAGACAAAAGAATATACCTTCTTCTCTGCTCCACATGGAACCTTCTCTAAAATCGACCACATACTAGGAGACATAACAAACCTCAAGATATACAAGAGAATAGGAATAGTCCCCTGTATCTTATCGGAACCACCATGCTTTAAAATTGGAATTCAACAACAACACAAATAGCAGAAAACCTGCAAACTCATGGAAACTTAACAATGTACAATTGTACCACTCCTGGGTCAAAGAAGAAATAATGAAAGTAATTAAAGACTTTCTAATATTCAACGAGATTGAGGATACAACATACCCGAACTTATGGGACACCTTGAAAGCAGTGCTACGAGGGAAGGTCATTGCACTAAGTGCCCATATGAAGAAAACAGAGGATAGTCACATAAAAGAATTAACAACGCAACTGAAAATCTTAGAACAGAGAGAAGCGAATTCACCCCGCAAGAGTAGACGCCAGGAAATAATCAACTTGAGGGCTGAAATCAACAAAATAGAAACCAGGAAAACAATACAAATAATCAATGCAACAAAGAGTTGGTTTTTTGAGAAAATCAAAAAGATAGACAAACCTTTATCCAAATTAAAGAAAAAGCAGAGACAGAACATGCAAATTAACAAAATCAAAAACGAAATGGGGAACATAACAACAGACACAGAGGAAATCCAGACAATTTTCAGGTCATACTTTGAAAATCTGTATTCCACAAAAATTGAAAATTCAAAGGAAATGGACAAGTTTCTGGATAACTATCAGTTACCAAAATTAAATTAAGAACAGACAAACAACTTAAATAGATCTATAACCTGCAATGAAATAGAAGCAGTCATCAAAAGCCTTCCAACGAAAAAAAGTCCAGGGCCAGATGGATTCAGTGCAGAATTCTACCAGACATTCAAGGAAGAACTAATACCACTACTCCTCAAACTGTTCCACAAGATAGAAACAGAAGGGTCATTGCCAAACTCTTTTTATGAGGCCACAATAACTTTGGTACCCAAACCTCACAAAGACACAACTAAGAAAGAAAACTACAGACCAATATCCCTGATGAACATCGATGCAAAAATACTCAATTAAATTCTGGCAAACTGAATTCAAGAATACATCAGAGAAATCATCCACCATGACCAAGTAGGCTTCATCCCTGGAATGCAGGGATGGTTTAACATGCGAAAATCTATCAACGTGATCCACCAAATAAACAAACAAAAAAAGAAAAACCATATGATTATCTCCCTAGATGGGGAAAAAGCCTTCAACAAAATTCAACACCCTTTCATGATAAAGGTATTGGAGAGGTCAGGGATAACAGGAACATACCTAAACATAATAAGAGCAATATACAGCAAACCAACTGCCAACATCAAACTGAATGGAGGGAGGGAAGGAGGGAGAGGGAACTGGGGTCGACATGTAAAATAATAAATAAAAAAAAAAAATGCTTTGACTCCAAAATTTAACTTGAAGAACAAGTTACTGGGGAAAAGGATTTCTATTTTTGTTTCCACAGAAAATGAAAAGATGTGGATTCCTTCCAGACTAATGTGGTTTGATCCGCCTGAAACAGAGTACAAGCTGATCCTAAATTCAAAACAGCTGGACAAAACAGCCCTACAGACTACAGCTAGGATATCTGAATCTTCTTCGAATCCCAAGACAGCGCCCCTTACCAGCAGGAAGTAGTTTGGAAAGAACGATACCCTAATTCCCAAATATTGTCTATAAATGTTTGTTTTCATTTAATTGGACTTTGTTATATAAAATTAAATAAAAAAATAAAAAAAAATTAAAAAAAATATGTGTGCTCATGGTGACATGAAGCTAACCTGAAATGGAACCTAAATATTTTTGACCATGAACACATTTAATTGGTTTTCATGTATTTTTTTATCTTTGAGGTGGAAGATAAGTTTTTGTATAGAAATGATGTAGTGTTTGGAGAGCCATATAGCATTGTGCAGGGGACAAACTATAAAGCACGGCTGTAGGGGCTTCAGAAATTGATCTTTACAAATTGGATTCATGGTTCAACCATTTTCCATCTAATTGGAGGCAATGGTGTCCCAGCCCTTTCTCTGGTAGCATCGAATTTCATTCTGTAGAGATTATTTACTTATCATAGGAAAAGACAGGCTTCCTGAAGCTAGGTGCTTAAAATATCCCTCTGGGGCAGAGACTAGAGTCACATCCTTACATGGTTCTTGTCCAAGTGTGGGAGAGTTCTTGAAGAGAATCTGCTGGTCTTGATTCACTGGCAGGGCTCTTCGGTGCCCCTGTTAGTACCCAGATCAAAAACATGTCCTATCTGGGGAAAAATATTCCTCAGGGAACTCTGATTCATGGAATGCCTTTAGAATGCCCAACTTAAGCCTTGGGTTCAAGGATTCCAAGCCAAGTGTGACACTAGGAGATAGTGTTGCTTGGGAAGGCTCAGCTCAGTGGCAGCAAAACTCCATTGGCCTTGAAACAGTAGTTGCCAGCAGCTGAGCCCCAGGCACTGCCCTCTGGCTGTGGCTGTGGTTTTTTATTTTATTTTATTTTTTTTTTTAATACACAACACTTTGTTTTAATGATGATTCTATTTGAGAATACAATATTTATTTATTTATTTTATATAACTAAGTCCATTTAAATGAAAACAAACATTTATAGACAATATTTGGGAATTTGGGTGTCATTCTTTCCAAACTACTTCCTGCTGGTAAGGGATGCTGTCATGGGGGATTTGAAGAAGATTCAGAAATCCTGGCTGTAGTCTGTAAGGCTGCTTTTTCCAGCTGTTTTGAATGTAGGATCACCTGGTACTCTGTGGTTTTATGGGCAATACCATGATGACTGTTGGCCTCCCTGTCCTGCCCAGATTATGGTATCAACACTTGACTATATTGTTTATTTAATCATGTAACTGTTTATTGCTGGCTTCTGGACATAGTTCAGACTGATGACTTAGCGGGGAAGGAAATGATTTGGGAGAAAGTTATGTTGAATGCCTTCTTAGAATTATGAGCAAAAATAATCAGGGCCAATTTTAGAAAGGTTTGGGTTGTTTTGCTACAAAATAAACTGTAGGAAGAGTTTAGAAGACTATCTAGCTCCTTCTACTTTTCCCATGGCTTCAGGACTCTGTGACACAGTCATTCATTTAGGGATCTCCATCACTGTGGAGGAGAGAGCTTATCAACATCCATGCAGAAGAAATTGCATGCATTTCAATTTGTCGCTGTTCTAGCTTCACAGTGCCTTTATGCCCAAAATCTCAGGAAGATGACTGTTTTCCTCTCTAGTTGAAAAGGCACACAATGAATGAAGTATGAAAAGACTCCTTGAGATAAATGCACACGTATGTATGTATGTATGTATGTATGTATGTATGTATGCATGTATGCATATGTATACCCCTCTTTTGCCCAAGCAACCAAGGATCTTATTGTCGAATAGGAGAAAGAAGAGGAAATGAGGAAGTATTATTCTTCATAATAAAACACGCAACATCAGCTTACAGGGACAACCTGCTGAGGGAATTGTAATGTAATGAATATTTAAAATACCTTAATGAGTAGAGTATCTTTAAGCCCATTTAAGGAAAAGAATTAAAAACAAATTAGAGAAAAGCCTAGATTTATTTAAATATAGGTCAGAGTTTGGGTCCTGAGTAAGTACACTGTTTTATTTTGTGAATAAATCACCTGCTAAGTGAAGAGATGCATTTGTGGAGATGAAATGAGGCTGGGCACCCTGAGAGCTGTCACGGCAGGCCGCCTTGCACGTTCATCTGCTTTGCAGCAGCGCCACCTGTCGGTAGCAAGCAGCAGGGGAGGACCAATGCAAATTCACTTTGGTTTCAGAGGTTGGCCAGTATTGTTCCTCCTCACACAAAGGCAAAGGGGCCACTCATTTTGAATCTGCCATGGGATGTTCCCCACGTGGAGGTGAGGGAAATGTTGTTGTTGCACATTCGCTTATTATTAGCTCTGGGAATGAACTCACACTCGAAAGGAAAGTAAGAGGATCTTCAGGCTAAATGATGTCTGGCTTTCAAATTTCATGTTACTAACAAATATTAGCAAACATTTCCACCTGCTTGAAGGCCTGTCAGCAGTCCCTTACTTTCCAACCATGGTGGTGATAGGAAAGGACTCCCTAAAGGTAGTGACTTCTGAGGATCGTTGGGGAGCTGTGTTTCCTAAGCGTTTCCTACTGTGGGCATTTCGGAGATCTTGATGGTACTTGTCATTAACATTCAACATTCTGAAATTGTCTTTCTACCATGTCATAGATAGAATGTCACAGGCTGGATGGATATTTTTAAGAATATCTGGAAGGCATTATGGTAGTGGGAATGTAAGTAACTCATAGAATACTAATAAATAAATAAATAACTAAGTAAATAATAAAAAAGAGTGAATGTCTCCTTAATATTTCATTGTGAATGTAAATGGAGTCACTTAATCTTTTATTTATTTATTTTTGTGGTTATGAGAGAGAGAAAAAAGAGAGATTAGTCAAATTAGTGTCCTCATCTTCCTTTGGAATTTAATTATACCACTGCTGCAATCAACCAATTCTCTTCCTCAATTTCACAATAAATTTGAAGGAATTATAATGGATAAAGGGAGGGTGGATGGTGAGGAGCAGAGACATTGTTTCTTATTCTCTGATAGTGTATGCATACCTGAAGGAGAAACAAATTGATTGACACTATGGGAATTATCATGATCAGTTATTGGTCTATAACTCAAAAGCTCCAAACACCCAAAAGTAGCCCCTCATCTGATTCATTGAAATAATTTCATATCTAGGAATCCAAGGAAAGTAAACAGACATGATGGAAATCAAGTAATTTCTTGTTACAGATACAGAAAACAATCAATGAAATGGATGAGGTTACAGCTGCTACATCACAATGTTGACCATTAAAGCTGGGATTTGAGAGTCCTTGGCATGAACACCTGGTTCTTATTTATACAGTGAATCTTCTCTCCCTATTGCTCAAAACACATACCAGAATCAAGTATCTTTGATCATTGCTATTATGAGTGAAATATTATTAGTCACAGGATGACCCCCCTTTTCACACTGAATCTCCATACAGCTCTGGCTCCATCAGAATGTTTCCCATGGCTTGCTAATATCAAGTGCCTGTCCAAAGAATCAGTGACAGCAAAGGACAAACATAAAATAGAGGTAAATCAACCAAACACAGAAGAAAGTTCACAACAAACTTGCATATTTTATTGTATAGTCTAAAATTAAAAACAAGGCTAAAAATTGAATCATTATTTGAGTAATGTATGGAGCAGACCATGGACTTCAGAGGAGGGATATTTCATGCATACAGAGAAAATATATGCATATTGAAATTAACAAAAGAAGGAGAAATAATAGTACAGAAAATAACACAGGCTATGAAAGGAGGAAGAGGTCAACTGGCAATAGGGTGGTATAATATCATGCACAATGTAGTGATACGAAATGGACAATAAGAACCTAGACAAGCAAAGATTTCCTGGGCTTTAAGGACAGATGCCATTGAAACAGTGATGTCACTGCCCTTTCTGCATTGTTAGGTTTATTCTTCAGAGTAATTTCACTTTGATCTTTTATGCATTTTCAGAAGTAAGTGGTTTTATGAGTTTTAATTCAAGAAAGCCTGAAAATACATCATAAAATTTGACAAAAGTGCAAAGCCTCTTTCAACTCTAACCTCATCAAAAAGTTGAGATAAATGGCTCACTATAGCAAAACAAAAGCACATCTTTGATTTGAGTTGAAATGTACATAGAGAACCATCAGATATTGTGTTGAAAGGAGAGGCCACAGCTTCAGTCATCTTCATAGAGAGCAGTGCAATGTGTCTCCTTGTAAACTATGCCTGACACCACATTTCTACTTTTCTCACTTCCTCGTCTTGGCAGATGTTTAATGGTTAATTCCTCTAAGTAGAAACCTTGTCTAAAGAACATGAAGCCACATGGAGAAAGGCCTTGACACCTAGCTTCAAAAGGTTTGTGCTTAGTCTTGGTGTAAGGTGTGTTTGGCTGATCCCTGGGACACCTGCTCATTTCTGAAGAGAAAAGGAGGAGAACTGAATCTGGGGACTAAGGGAGGTGGGGGGGCCATGAGGAGTGGAAGGAGGGGAAACTGTGGTAGGGCTGTAATTTAAGAAAGAATAATAATAATAAATGAATAAGTACCCCAAATAATAATATTGATAAACAACTTTGAAAATATGGTTGAGGGTATAACTCTGTGGAAATGTTGCCTAACATGAAAAGGGAGCTGTGTTCAATCCTTAGGACTAAAAAGAACCCAAACCAAACAACAATAAAAAACCATCTCATAATAACAGTACAATTGGTATATTTAGGGTAATAAGATGACAGAGAAGATGCATGCATAATGTGCACTAGGATAAACTCTGACTTTGAGCTTTGAGAAGTAAGAATTTTACCAACAGAAAAATCATAAATTTTTAAAAATGTATGCCTCACGGGCCTGGGGATGTGGCTCTGCATTTAGGTGCGGTGCGTGTATCCTCTTGCAGAGGACCTGCGGTTGGTGCCCAGCACTCACATCTGATGGCTCACAATTGCCTATAACTCCAACTCCAGGCGTTCCTTTGACCACATATAATTAAAAAAAACTTGAAAATTTAAAACATAGACTAATACATGCCAGTAATTGCAATATATAAAGTCCCAGGAGTGAAAAGTAAATAGCTCAAACAAAATTGTAAGCATGTTACAATATATAATATTTGAATGTTGCATGAGACCATTTAGATTTTATCTTTAGAACAAAGACATAAGGCCACAAAGAGCGTTAAACATAGACATTTAAGATGTTGACTTGTGCTCAGGGGTAAGGCTACAGAAGAGTTAACAGAGACAATGTGTTTGAAACAAAAACAAATCAAAATAAGTTGTACCAGTTTAGTCGTGAAAATCTGAGATTAGATGATAATAAATACTCAGGGGAAATTGGTGCTCAAAAGAGAGAGATTTAGAGATGTATGATGGGGAAGAACCACTGGGACTTGTGCAGGCTGAGGAAACAACACATCAGAGGCAATAATTGCTAAAGCTGTCTGAGGGGGTGCCCGGCAGGATCCAGAGATTTCTGAAAATGATTAACTCACATAGTCTCAGCCACTGAACACTGTAAGAATCCACTTTTATTCAATCATGCCTTAATGAGGACTGACAGAAGAGTAACCACCTTTTCCCATAGTCACCAAGGAAACTGGTGCCTTCCCTGTGTTCTATAGTGTCGTATGATCTTCAGTTACTATCCTGGAACC